CAGGATTTTAAAGGATTTTGGAGTACGGGAACATTTTTCCTGCAACTTCGTTCAAGTTGGTGTAAGATCCTGTAAGTTCATGAAGTACTGGATCAGAGCTAATATATGTATTGTTAATGGAGACAGCATATTGGTCATGGAAAGCAATAATTATCAGAACTGTTATCTTTATAAATATTGCCAGCCATGAACTATCAGTTAATTTGACAACCAGATTTTCATTTGCGCGAAAACTTAGCGGCATTTGAGTTTTTAGAATGGTAGAAAAATTTAGCTAATTTCTGTTGGATTACACAGGCCTGTAAATCAAATNCTTTATTTGCGCGAAAACTTAGCGGCATTTGATTTTTTAGAATGGTAGAAATATTTAGCTAATTTCTGTTGGATTACACAAATCAAATTTTTCCGCTTTCCAATAATTATTTTTTTCAATATCTAGGTATGTTAATTTAAAATACAAATTTGGTTCTTTTCTTACATGTTAGAACTTTTAGCAACTTGCATGAAAAGCCAAAAATTAATTAATGTAGAATAGAATTTTTACTTAAAACCATTAGTATCAATAATAATACTCATAGAGAGTTTACGAAGTTAACGCTAGCAATGTACGGTAATGCAAATAAAATTATAAAAAAAAATTCTCGGAAAATTTTCGTGATGAAATTTTTTATTATTTTTTTTACGTACTCAAATCGCTAACTAGTTTTTTAAGGGGAAAACCACACAGGCCTGTGTTATTTTTGATTATGTACTTGGATGTGAAATAACACATTTTCTAAAATTTTTTAAGCAGATTTGCGCTCCAGTGAAACGAACATACTTATTTTAAGCCATCTTACAAAATCTTTTATCAAGATGACAAGGGATGACGGAAATTCGTTCCAAAATAAATCATAAAAAATCCCCTTACACAAATATTGCCGCTGATAAAACTTATGCATATCTGNCGATTTGCTCTCCAGTGAAACGAACATACTTATTTTAAGCCATCTTACAAAATCTTTTATCAAGATGACAAGGGATGACGGAAATTCGTTCCAAAATAAATCATAAAAAATCCCCTTACACAAATATTGCCGCTGATAAAACTTATGCATATCTGGCAAACAAAATGACATATGGTAGGCAATAATTTTCGCCTGTGGAGACACGTCGTTAGCTAGTAATTCAGTGTTGTAAAAGGTAAAATTTTATCGATTGCAGCTAAAAGGCGTTTACACTGTTCAACTTTTACAGGCGATTAGTTGAAAAAAAGTTTATATCATTTAACTGAAAGGTGAACAATGTAAACGCCTTTTANCGACACGTCGTTAGCTAGTAATTCAGTGTTGTAAAAGGTAAGATTTTATCGATTGCAGCTAAAAGGCGTTTACACTGTTCAACTTTTACAGGCGATTAGTTGAAAAAAAGTTTATATCATTTAACTGAAAGGTGAACAATGTAAACGCCTTTTAAATACAATGATTGTGTACGATTAGGAAATAATAATATTCTGAACGATTTTTTTTTAAATTTCATCACTGCTAAAAAACTTGAAAAGGAGGACAAGGAGGACATTTTTGCTCAAAAGGAGGACAGAGAAGGACAAACTTTTTGAGGAGGACAATCNGAAGGAGGACATTTTTGGTCAAAAGGAGGACAGAGAAAGACAAAATTTTTGAGGAGGACGAATCACGTTTGAGGAGGACAATCCTCCTCAAAGGAGGGCGGTTGGTCAGCTTACATTAAAGCATAGTCCGAAACAGGCTTCGGAGAAGGTTGTATGCGCTCATTGCCTCACAATTAAAGGAGTCACAATTCAGAATTCTCCCGAAGTGAAGTATCGAGAAGTAATTCAGGATACAAAACTGTCGTGTAAATTTAACGTGGAACACAAAACCTCTAAAGAATTGGCAGCATTTTTACGCAGGTCTTGTAAGCAGGTCTTTGGCAAAACGTGGGGTGTGCCACCATAGGGCATCCTCTGGATTTATACCTCTATGATCAGACCCATAATTATCTATTCGTCAGTGGTATAGTGGCGCAGATCCTCAATCAAGAGCGTGGGAAGTCTGCTTGCTAAACTTCAAATAACTACTGCCGTGTGCTGCCCTGATGCTTTCTCTACAATACGTGGCGCTGCTCTTGATGCACTGCTGCACTTACCGTCACTTTGTGTGCTCATACGTGGGAAAGCTTTAAAGGCCACCTGCAGACTAAAAAGAAACGGATGCTGATATAACACTGAGTGGGGCAAGGCGGAAATTGCTAGCGGCAGATTTCTGAGCACTTGTGTCTTTTCAATGCCACAGGATAGTACGCCACCTTTACCTTTGTTGAAGAGATTCTATAATGTTTAGTTCCCTGCGGCTGAATGCAGGTTTAATACCAGCACTGAGCCCGGAATCCCACGTAATCGAATCTTCAACGATGGCTCCAAAACTGACTCTCTTTTGGACTTTTCTCTGGGGAAATATGCTTCGGTTTTCCAGGCTGAGGTATTTGCAGTGACGGCCAAACGGCATTGGGCAGCCCTCTAACTACTTACTTCCAAACTCTGGGTGCCAGTTCAACCGGCAGTAACCTATCGTCCATAACTATAAT